AAAGGGTCGGAGATTGTAGCTCCTAGGCGTACCTGAAAGCTACGATCCTGCAGAAAGTCAGCAATGCAGTTGAACATTCTCCCTTTTATGTCCATCGAGATAAGGTCCTGGAGTATGCCGTACCGCCAGGCGGTGTCGTAAGCTTTTTCAAGGTCGAAAAATACAGACAGACAAAATTGCTTATTTATGAAAGCCTCGCGGACCGTCGTCTCAAGACGCACCAGGTGGTCAACAGTAGACCTGGAAGTGCGGAAACCACACTGGAAATTGCTCAGTAGTTTCTTGTTTTCTTGTATGTAGACTAGCCTGTTGTTAACTAGCCGCTCAAATGTTTTCCCCAAACAGCTAGTAAGGGCAATTGGCCTGTAGCTCGTGGCTTTACTTCTGTCCTTTCCTTGTTTTAAGATGGGGATGACAATAGCCTGTTTCCAGGTGCTAGGAAACTTTCCTTCCGCCCAGATGATGTTAAAAAACTGGAGGAGAATAACTAGAAATGTTTCAGGTAGATGAGAAAGCATGCTAGGGTGAATTGCATCAAGTCCAGGGGATGTAGGCTTTGCAGCAGCAAGGGCTCGACGGAGCTCGACGAGGGAGAAAGGACAATTATATTTTTCAGTGCAATCTTCTGATCTACGAATTGGAATTCTCTCGTGCTTGGACTTAAACTGCAGAAACTCTGCAGTGTAGTTTTCAGAACTAGAGACTTGTGCAAAGTGTCTACCAAGTGCGTTGGCTTGTTCATATAATGATGAAAATGCTTCTCCCTTCTCGTCTAACAGCAAGGGGATTGAGAAAGGATGGTAGTCACCATCCACTCTACCTACTCTGTCCCAGACAATCTTCGCTGTCGTGAAACTATTAATAGAAGATGCATATGAACAAAAGGATCTCCTTTTCACCCGTTTCCTAATATAGCGGGCTTTTGCACGTAATTGCTTAAATGCCAGGAGGTTTATGGAAGTGGGATACCTCCTAAATCTTGCCCAAGAACAGTTTTGGCGGTTTCGGGATTCTTTACACTCATTATCCCACCACGGTTTAGGACGTCTCGGCAGCTTGCCGGATTTCTGTGGGATGGACAGACGGGCTGCCTCAACAATTGCTGTTGTTATGAGAGAATTTTTTTCGTCCACGGAGGCCGCTTGCGAAAGATCCAGGGAAGAGGGGATATTTGATTGAAAGAGGTTCCAATCTGCTGAAGAGATCTTCCAACAGCGGGAACGACAAGGCAGCCTGGGCAGGACTTCTAAGGGAGTAAGATACACAGGAAAATGGTCCCTTCCATAAAAGTTATCCAATGCATTCCAAATAAAATCTGTAAAAAGTGCAGCGGAACAAATAGTGAGGTCAATGCAAGAAAAGGAGTGATTAGCAGAACTGAAATATGTTGGTTCGCCTGTATTTAATACACATACTTCTCTGAGAGATAAAAACCGCGCCACAACAGCACCTCGAGTGTCAGTTCGGACACTACCCCAGAGGGGATTGTGTGCATTAAAGTCGGCCATTAAAATAAAAGGTTCAGGGAGCTGATCGACTAAAGTTTCAAGTTGGGAGAGTTCCAGGGCAAATGAAGGGGGGATGTAAATGGAGCAAATTGTAATAAGGCGTTGCTGTAGTAACCTCACCGCAACGGCCTCCAGGGGCGTGTCTAGGGGGACCTCATATGCAGGAGTGCCACTGTCTACGACAATAGCAACTCCACCGGCAGCGCCAGAGGTAGTCACGCGGTCCTTCCTGTAGACTTGATATGATCTAAGAAAGTTGCTGTTGGGTGGTTTGAGGTAAGTTTCTTGGAGGCAAAATGCAGAGGGTTCATGCCTCTGCAACAAGAGCTTCACATCATCTAAATTACAAAAAAGACCTCTGCAGTTCCATTGCATAAAGCAGGCCATAATTTAAAAGAGTGAAATCTAAAAGGCTAAAAACGTAAAAATGAAGAAAAGATTAAATACAGACAAGGAATATATTTTCAGGTCTTAAAATCAATCTTTATACGAGGTGTGTTTTTCTTTTTAGTGGCACCCTTCTGCTCACTGGTGGATCCACCAGTGCCGGAAAGGGAACACTCCGACCCTGACATGGACCTGTCCTCGTCGGACTTGAGCCCACTTTGATCCATTGGCTCGTCGGTGGTTGTAGCCAATGGCTGACCCTTGGATGTCGCTGGCTTGGTTGGCAAGCCAGGGATCGTCTGGGTACCAGAAGGGCGGGGTGCCATACCCCGTCCTTTGGGGGGCAGAGCGGTGCGAGGAGCAAGGGTCACCAAGCCTTGCTCCTTACTGGGTGTGGGCACGCCCACATCTTTCCTAGTGCTCGGAGGCGGTGTTTGCCGTACCACTCCCGAGGTGGAGGGGGACCCCGACGGGACACGCAGGTCATCCGAAGATGTCTGCGTCCCCGTGGACACCATCGGCCGTGCAGGTCCCCTGTGCACAGCCTCTGCATATGAACCACGTGAGGCAAACAAGACACGCTTCTTTGCCTCATGGTATGGAATGTTCTCTTGGACCTTCAATGTAAGTATTTCTTTTTCTTGCTTCCAGAGAGAACAAGACCGAGAATATGCAGCGTGCTTCCCTTCGCAATTGGTGCACTTTGGTTCGTTCTCACAGTGATCTGCGAGATGCTCTTTGCTAGAGCACCTCGCACACGTGTCAGATCCGCGGCAGCTCCGTGAGCCGTGGCCGAACCGCTGGCACTTGAAGCAGCGCAGCGGGTTCGGTACGTATGGCCGAACGCGGCAATGCAGGTAACCTGCCTTGACAGCTTGTGGAAGGGTGGTCATTGCAAAGGTCAGTACGATGTGTTTTGTTTTGTGTTCCACGCCGTCGCGTCGGAGTGTGATGCGCCGTGCGGCGATCACACCCTGGCTGGAGAGGCCCTCTACGATTTCCGTTTCTGGAGTTTCTAATAAATCGTCTTCAGAAATTACGCCTTGTACTGTATTTAGTGTGCGGTGGGGGGTTACGGTGACTTTGTAATCAGAGATTGAGTTCAATGCTAGTAGAGCATCACTCTGGATCTTTGTGTTAACCTCTACGAGGAGGTCACCTGATGTCATCTTCTTAGCCTGAAAGGTCTTTCCCACAACACCCTCTAGAGTTTTCGCGACAAGAAAGGGGACAGTTTACTTAGTGGTTTCTCAGTTTCTGAGTGCATCACTAAAAACTTTGGATACTGCGGAGTAACTACTACTGGAACATCAAGTGTACGTGCTTCGGTGCGGACTCTTTTCGGAGCCCGATCGAGAAAGGTTTTGTTTTGCAGACCCATAAAGATGGGAAGGAAAGTTCAGTGCCCGGGTGCACCGCCCACCACGGAGCCCAACAAGGGGGTAGGTAATGTGCCATAGCTAAGAAAGGCTTGGCTGACACAATTACTCTACCAGTGCTGCCCGGGCACTATACCCTAGTGTGGTTGCAGGGATAGGTCCTGTTTCCACTCAAGGTTGGCCCTTGCCGCCTAAGGAGGTGAAAAAGGAAGGAAGAGAGTGCAGAAGAAAAGAGAAAGAGGTGGAAGGAAAAGTGAAAGAAGGAAGAATAGGGTAGAAGAGGCGACTGACTGAATCATCCTGGTCGGGCCAAGCCAGGACACCCGTCTACGAGAAGCAGAGGCTGAAGCGGTGTATTGCCTTGCCCGGGGGGCCCCGAAGGGTCCAAACATACCCCGGGCTCAGCTCAACCACCAGGGTCCCCCTTTCCCCGGACACGGGTACGCCACGCACAGCCAGACGTGGGTGGGCGAACCCACATGGCTCGGGGTTCGTAGTGACGCCACTCACCAAGCACCTACTAAAAAGTAGGTGCCCCCTGCGTGCGGGTATGGTGGCCCACGTGGCTGGGGTCCGTGGTGACGCTACTCACCAAGCATCTAGCACCTAAAGTGCAGGCGCCCCCTGTGGGGCTCGGGGTCCGTGGAGACGCCACTCTCCAAACACCTGCTTTCACAGGTGCCCCCTGCGGGGCTCGTCCTCTCTGTTTTATACTTTCAAGTTTTGTAGATATTTTTCACCTTCTATGCCTTGCAGAGTCTGCCGGGAACTTGTGGAAACTTACTTCGCTATCTTTTCTTGTACATTTCGGTGCAATTAACGGCAACACAGCCTCGCGGCATGCTGAAATGCTATGACACTCATGCGAAACGTGCGCCTCTTTGCCCAAAAAACCCGGCTCTGGCGCGATCGCAGCGCCACCGCAGCTCCGTGACGTCAAGCCCGCATGTCGGTCTATAGTTGTTCACCAGCTCAACTGCACAATTACTCTTATTTCAACCTAGTCATGGCTCATTAATATGTACACTTGCATTGCCCCGAAAAATCGTACACGATCTGAATCATACCTAATAGGGATCGTCCATAGTACAGAGTGAATCAATGTCAAGACCACAAATAATAAACAAGAAACACGGTCACAAAAGACACGGTTTATTTAGGGGCAAACAAATGCTGAGACTCATTTGCCCAGACACTTTGGTGTTAGCTATTAGAAACGAAACCCGCAATGTATTTAAGTAAGCACTCTCAATTATCCCATTTTTATTGCTACTTTTGTTCCAGCCTCGGTTGGTGAACTAATTTAGAGTACCCTATCGTCATGCAGTCACCCGCGTGACTGTGCATGACGTGAAAATCGCAGGCTTGCTTTAGCAAAGGGACAACAACTTGGAAACGAGTGCATGTTTGGTGACGGCAAAACCTCGAGAATATTTACGAGCCAAACCTGGCATTATAAACTTTCCAAAATTTCAATTATTAGAGATACCCGTCTTAGTGAACTACCGAACAAAACCAAAAACTTAAAAATATGCGGCGTCTCCCTTTCTTTCTACTTTCGAGCAAGAAGATGCAACGTGTCGTTCTTTTACATTAACTAACCCGGCTTAAATTTTTTGTGCACGACCAATTTGAGATTTTTCGAGGGAACGAATTTTCCCGAGGCACGGTCGCACGGACAAAAAAGTCTCCCCGTTCGAGTTGTTGACAAGGCGAGTCCACTCACGTTCGCGCTCGTACTCGATCATGTCCAGGGCCACCTCGGCCCCCTCCGAGTAGTTGGAGGAGGTGACGTCCTGCCGCACATTGCAGAAGGCCCCCACCGACTGAGACATGAGCACCCGGTTCAGGTCAGCACGCTGGTACACCTGCACACAAACACACTGCTCTACCGCAAACCTGGCCAACAAAGACTTCCACCTTAAAAACACCTTTGGGTGCATTTCAGGCAGCACAAGCAACGAAGGCGGCAGAAATTAAAACAATAAAAGAAAAATCGACTCAGAAGTGCGACGGAAGCCCACATTTCGACTAGAAGAAACCCAGTCAGCACCTCTCTGTCGTTTGTACACTACGTTTACACTACGTCTGTACACTATGTTTGTGCAAAAAAAGCAACACTCTCGCTCAGGGTTGGTCCCGTCTAAAAAACATTGTAGAGACCATCCACTTCACGTAAAGATGGAGGACCAGCGAAGCTGTTATTTTTACGACAACTACAGTCAAACCTTGATGTAACCAAGTTGCTAAAGTTCGGAATTTACTTCGTCACATTGAAATTTCGCTACATAGAAATTCGAGGCTAACGTTAAAGAAAGTTTCCACAAATTTTTCTCGAGTGAACAAAACTCACCGAGGACACCTCTATTTCGGTTGAAAGTAGTCCATCACCTTTTTCTGAGCCACTCTTGGCATTATTATTGGCATCACACGACGTTCGCGTAGCCAGACGGCCTGCATTGCGTCTTCGTCTTGCTGTGGGATCGCCAACCGCCTCAAGACATCGATCGCGTCCACCACTTCACGGCAGAGCCATATATGTAGAGAGTTTGGCCATTTGTTGGGAAGTATAGGAGACAAATGAGGAGGCGCCATTGGCCGAAAGCGGGCTGGGCGTGTTCCAGGGCGTCTTCAGAAATTCGAATGTGACCAACCAGAAGCCGGAAATAATACCCTGGCGGTGGTCGCGAGAAACAAACCTGATAACTGCATTGGAGTAACTCTTGATGGCTGAAAATACGATACACGTGATGCTTCAATCACGCTCATCCAAAAGAATGGTGGAAGAGTGCAACTAGCGGAACGGTCGACATAATCCGTACGTTAAGCGCCGAGGGCCGGGAATCTGCCGTCCGAGCGGTCACACTCTGTCCGAGCAAAACAGAGTTGAGCGGCGCATTCGTTTCTTACATCTTTCTGCATGATCATGATCAAAACAACATGTGCACCCTATTTTCAACCACGAAGAGTTACTACACTTCACTCTTACGTGCTTATTAAAACCATATACGAACATAGACCTTTGATCAGGATTGTCTCTGGCTACAACCGCTAGGGGATTCTTTTCGGCTTCTGGTTGGTCAAGAGAGCATGCCAAGCCCTCTTTCAGAGTCTGCCGCACGCCCTGGCTCTGCCCGCGCCTCCCATTGACCAAACTTTCTACATATACGGCTCTGCTTCACGGTTACTGGGCACATCGCAGGCATCTTGCTCATCAGTTTCGATGTCGTCCCAGTCTTGCGAGTTCCCCCAAACATCCTATTGCCTCGTCGGACACCTCCTCCGTTGCAATGACAGCAGAGTCGGCGTATAGAAAGTCGTCATAATCGATGTTGTGAGGGACGGCTCCATCGCCTTCGAGGCTCCATTGCCCAGGACAACGAGAAATGCACGCTTTTAGTTAGGCCTCGAAACAAACTACTCAGCGCGAACGAAGCCGACGGACAAAACGGCGGCGGCTCTACTGTCCTCTAGTAGCCATTCTGTACACCAAACTCACCAGATTCGGCCCGTTTCACCCTTTGCGCTTTATCGGGGGCTAATTTCAGCACGTGCTTCCCACACTCTCCTTTGGGACCCAAAAGTTTGTGACAAATTGTCCATGAAATTTCGTTATATCGAAATTTCGGCCAACGGGACTTCGTTACATAGAGGTCAAAAATACATGACGTGCATACACTTGCGGTTAGAAAAAGTTATTTACTTCGTTACATCGGGGGTTTCGTTACATAGAAGTTCGTTACATCGAGGTTTGACTGTACGCAACATCTATACGATTGCCATAAAGGCATGTACGCAACTTTGCTGCTTAATTGTCTTTATTTATTTCTTAGTGACTACATTTCCTTATGGTCACTTATGGGTAAGTTCTAAACCCATTTTTTCGAGGCACACCTGGAGGACAGTTTTTCCAATTGAGCCCAAGTCTCTTTATTAGCATCGCAGAAGCGAAAGAAAAGAAGGTTAGATCATCGCGTTCTGCCCTCAGCCTCTTTCGTAAACCCCTTTCGGATCGGCATAAATGATGAGGTACCCCACCCATCTACCAGGAAGCAGGGGGCAGTATTGAATGACTGAAATGTTTGTGAGTTCCCAGCTGAAATGTTTGTGAGTTCCCACTTCAAGTAGCAAAGGGTTTCCCCGGATATGCTTACGCTGTCTCGGGTCATAGTGCTAAAGGCCGGTTCACGCACTTGGTTCACGCACTTGCGTTTGCTTTCGAGCGAGTTCTTGCGATCTCCTACGATGAGAAAATGCGCTGGCACGCCGGAGCTGTCCATGAGGTGGCTCTAGAACTGCATTTCACTATAGAACAAAGATTTTGTGGTATTTGCGAAATCAAATACGCATCTATAAGAAAGGGTAGTTTTTAACATAGTCAAAAGTTTTCCGAGTCAATAGAAAAAGAATGATGCGCGAAAAAGTAGGAAGTACACGGAAATCGCGAGTGTTCTACGGCCACATGGTAGATGGGCCCGGCGCGTTCTCTCGTCGTAAGAGATCACGAGAGGTCTTAATGCACTTGGTCGTAAGCAGTTGCAAGTGTGCGAACCAGTCTACAGTAAACTTTCATTAATTTGACCTCGACGGGACCTTGAAATTTAGTCAAATTATCCGAATGATTGAATTAAAGAAAGGACAGAGAAACGGTTAAAATTAAACTTCCTTTTATTGTCCAAAGTATTCACGGATGGTCTGCTGACGTCTGCACTTAAAACGCGCGTCCAAAAGCATGCTTCGGAGAGCAACGTAGCTAAACGTCACATCCTCAAAACATAATGTACTAAAACAAAACAAACAAAAAAAAAAAAAAAAAGAGGAAGTTTTACGAGTCGGTTTTGGCGTCAGGCAGCCAAACCAGCCGAATGCAGCTCCGGAGTTCCCCGGTGGGCCGATAGGGGCGCCGCGTCGCTGGCTTCTCTCTCGTACGTCCATCCAAAGAGCAGATTCGTAGGTCTACCCAGCCGACTCCGACCAAACTGTTATGCTCATATTCGCCGCTATGATTTTCAGCGCAGGCGACGTGTATATGATCTTCGCTACCGAAAGCGAAGCACTCTGGGCTCTTCCAACCAGTCAGTAAGAGCGAAGGGAAACGACCGTTTTTGTCTTTTTTGTTTTGTTCGCGCTCGCTCGTCACTCCAAGCCTCCAAGCTTTCAAACCGTTCCGCGCGTGCTAAAATCGAAAGTGCGGATTTTACGGCAGTATTAGCAGTACGGTGCGACGCTGCTGCGCGCTTATAATAATTAGAGATGTACGTCTCTAATTTGACAGAGATTCTGCCGAGTGTTTTGCGTGCCTCATGACGGCGTATTACGGAGTCTACAGCGCGGCGGAGTAACTCGGAGTGCTCATTCTTCCGCTTTCCAACAGACGACAGGTGAACCTCTATATCAATTTTTCTTTTTTTTTTTGTCAGCGTTCGAAACTCGATTTTTCCATCAGAGCGTCGAAATGGATTGCGTATGCAAATCGCCAGGACTTTGGAAGCCTGCCCGGCTTGCCGACGAGCAAGCTGCGCCAGCGTTGTTTGTGCAGCGAGCGCTTCGGCGCTACCGTGTTTGCAAGTTGTAGGAAGATTCGTTTGTGGAAAAACGCGTGCCCCACCGTTCTTGTTAAGAATCCGTTGCTGCAAGGACTTGCTCCTCTGGGTGAGTTGCTGTCAGAGCAATGTTCAGTTAATTTGACAGCTTTGTGTTTATATGTTAAGATAGAGTACCGATAAAGCACCTACAGTCAGAGATGTAGTCACTCCAAAACAGTAGTTGTTTTCTTTCTTTCTTAATTGCATTGCCTATTAGCGAGTTTGTTTATGGTTTATTTATCGTTTATTTCTATGCAGCTCACCCGCAAGCCTTTTCCTTTATTTCGGGGTTGATTTGTTTGTTTGGGTATTCAGAAGTTTAGTTTGTGGGAGTTGTTTATAGAGCCATTTAGATAATTCGATGATAAGTGCTTTTCTCTTAGTTTGTACGTTGAAGTAATTAATTTCGTTTTACATATTTGACAACTTTACTGTGTTTACTGCCTACTACAGTTCTTGATTTCCCTTTGAGGGCGGTGGACTGCCAACGGAGTTTGTAGATACGTGTTTGAAATACCGCAACTCATTTGAATGGGGTTCAATAAAAAAATACATTTCAATGAACGTGCTGTTTCTGTTTGATTGCACTGGTAATATCACGTGAAGCGCAGTTGTTGTGAAGTATATCGCGCGCGGCTCGTCTGCTAGACCGGTGCCGTGCTGGCCGCTCACAGCGGCCGGCGCGGCACCAGTCTAGCAAACAAACCAGAAGAAAAAAAAAAAAAAAAAGAAACCCGGGGGGGGGGGGGGGGGGGGGGGGAGGAGGAGGAGGAGGAGGAGGAGGAGGAGGAGGGCGCACGGCGCACGCCAACGGCAGTGGTGGCGCCATCTGGCAGTCTTTCGAGTCCAATTTTAGTCTCCGACCAGACGTACGTTCGCCTTCCTGCCACTAGCACCTCGTGGCGCTAGTTTTTTTTTACCATGGTGGAGGCTACAGCTGCACTCGGCTGGCCAAACCGTCGACGACAAAAAAAAGAAAAAAAAAAGAAAAGAGAATTTGCTTTTTTTTTACGTGCAAGATGGACCGCGCATGATGCTACAGAATGCGCTTTCAGAGCGCGCGCTGAGAAAGCACTTCGGCGATGTGCAGCCAGACCATCGACGACAAAAAACAAAAAAAATGGAAAAGAAAACTTGCGCTTTCCGGTGCGCAAGATGGACCGCACACTATGCTGCAGAAAAGCGCTCCCTCTGAGAGCGCGCGCTGCGTGCACTGTCTCGGCACCCGATTACGTGCTATGTTCGCGCTACTCGACGCCAGATTGGTTGCGCTGGCTCGTGTCATTCGCTACGGTCCATCTCAACGGCGTAGAGGAGGAGGCGCATATTTGCGCACGTTCGGCCTTGCAGCAAAGGGCCCGTGTTTCGCCATACGTTTGCGGTGTTTCCGCGATGGTGTCGTGCAATGTGAGCCCGCGCACATTCGCTCGGGACGAATTATCCGATGCGCAGACCTCCCCAGTTTGAACTATCAAACTTTTCCTCCCGTATAAATGTACGGGTGCTCACCGGGACTTTTCAACACGATTGAATCAACCGAAAATTTAAATTAACCGAGGTTGAACTAACGAAAGTTTACTGTATAGACTCTTGTCGGTGCATCAAAGGCTACCCGAAATTGATAGGAACGCTTTGCTCGTCGTAATTACCATCGTAACTTGGGTATAGAATCAACGAAAAATGGCTCATCTCAGCGAGACCGCCACTTACGCCGCAGGCTTCCTTGTTTCTGTCCGTTTCACGGAATACACCCTCACAACCTGCACTTGCAGACGAATCTACTGCTGGAACAATTTATGTACCATCGCGCGAGCAATCGCAAAGTTGGAATCTTCCGGTGTGCCCCTCGTGCCCATTACACATAGATCGTACCTCTTGTTCTTTTAGAGTAAAACTGCCTTCATTCATCGCAAAAATACGTAATCTCGTCGATTTTAGGAATGCCGCGTTTGTCCCAGAAGTCCCAGAAATTTGTCACACCCCCCAGAGTGATAGTCATTGATAACGAATATCAGTGACTATCAATCGGGTGAGTGATAAATTTCTGGGACTACAGGCTCATGTACTTTGTGTAAGAAATTCTAGGGGGAAGGTTGGATTCAGCTTAGGGTGTGTATGTATAGGTCACTGTACGATTTATTTTGAACCACTGAGGGCGCAAATAAAATATGTGCGAAAGAACAAATATAAGGTTTGAGAACCGGTGCAAAGTAATAAAAGAGAGAAGGCGTAAATAAGTGAGCCATCCTTACCCAACAGCGGTACTTGCTGTAGGCGTCCTCCTTGTTGTAGGTGATCAGGTAAGACCTCAGATTCTCCTTCCAGAAAGCAATGCACTTGAGCTCGTAGTCAGGTTCGCCTGCACACGTCAAGGCAAGTATGGAGGCAGACAGCTGGAGACGGCATCTTACTAATCCCTTGTCCACTCCCCCCTGCACAGCCCTACAACCTTGAGCATAAAAAAAAATACTCTTTTGATACGGGACGTTAAAATTATCTAAAAAGTATTTTCGTGACTCGAGGTTGGAATGTCAAATACCTAAAATTATTTTGTTGGTGAACGTGGAAATAGCCACCGCCTCTGCACTCGCTATCGGAACTTAAATGAGCCGAAAATGCTACGAGCTCGCAATGTTTAGGACCAGAGAGCAAACTTTCAATCCACCTGCCGTCGAGGTGCAACGCATCAATCCAGTTTGCACCGAGCGCCTTTAGATTAAGGTTCTGCATCCTCGGCATATACCGATGAACCCTGAAAACCAACTCCCAAAACAATTTAATGAAAAAAGAAAAAAAATTGGAGCTGTTTTTGAAGAAGGAAAAACCCAACCTTTGTAAAAACCCTACAGCTTTGTTTTGTGCCGACCCTAAAGCCCCCACCTTACTGTCCGCAAGGATGCTTCTTTCTTCGGGAAGCATACCCCCTTGTCTTGTTGTCATCTATTCTCAAAACTGGGATGTTTTCCAGGTACTTGGGTCACGGGCATGTTCCATCAATGATGCAGAATCCCATTCCTATGTCCTGTTTTCTTCGACCCATAAGCGTCAATTAACGCACATTTTTTGCCCGACCCCAAAACATGCCAGGCCGAATCTGAGGGAAAAGTAAATCCCCAAAAAACATCTTCGAGTTTGAAGAGACACAAATCTTGAGAACGCAAAACCCTTCTTAGGATACGTGTTGTCATGATTCGAGAGAGCGAATTTCTGAGTCAAACAAGTGCAGAGTCGACTCACTGTAGATGTCCACTGGCCTCCCAAAATAGTCGACGGAAATACAGTAGTCGGCGTCAATGTGGATGATCTTCTGGTCCGCGTCGCAGACGGAGAAGTCAGAGATGTTCTCCCGGCAGTAGACGTTGGGCCGCGGAATTTGGGTCACTCCGCCGCGGATCCGTGTCTCAAAGGGAATGTCCCCCCGCTGCTCGAAGCGGAATTTTCCAGCCACGGGGCACTTAATGTTCACGGGGTCCGTCGCTGCAAAAGGAAAGCGAAACACAACGGATGTTCGGACGCTTCGCAAATACAGCAATATTTAGAATACCGGCACGTTAAATTTTGATACAAGAGATTCAATAGAATTTTGAGGTATTTGATTAGAATATCGAGGTGTTCAATTAGAATATGAAGACATAAGATTGAAATATCGAGGCATTTAATTAGGATATCAAGGTTTTGATTAGAATATCGAGGTATTTAATTAGAATATGGAGATAATAGATTGAAATATTGAGGCATTTATCACGATCTCGAGGTATTTGATTAGCATATCGAGGTATTCAGTTAGAATATGAAGACATAAGATTGAAATATCGAGGCATTTGATTAGGATATCAAGGTATTTGATTAGAATATCGAGGTATTTAATTATAATATGGAGATATTAGATTGAAATATTGAGGCATTTGATCACGATATCGAGGTATTTGATTAGAATTTCAAGGTATATGACTACCATAAAGTCCCGTGAGAATGCCTGATCAAAATGGAGATATACAGTGAGAAATGCGGGGTGGGCCAATCTTTGCGAATGTGACAGCAAAATTTCATAGAAAGTGATAAACGTGGGCTGCCCTCTACAAGCCACGTGGAACGGGAATGCTCGACTGTTGTCTACGTGTTTCTCTCTTATGTCCCCGTCTTTGTGTGCACATTTTTAACGTTTGAACTGGAACTGCAGATAGTGGGCACGGCAAATCCGCATTCCATGAGGCGACAAAACGTGTGGGAACCCACTACAAACTCGCGTGTCACGGTGCGATAAGCTTGAGGGAACCTGCTGCAAATGCGCTTTGTAACATACCAGTACCGCAGATCTCGCAGTTGATGTCATTCTCGTCGGACATTGCGTGACTGATATCCAGCAGGAATCGGGGGGTGGGCGACCTTTGGGAATTATGTTATGGATATTCAGCCCAAAAAACGGGACGCGCGAGCTCTCGGAGATGGTTGTTCATCCGGGATTTTAGAGTAGGTAGTAGATTATCAGATATTCAATTAAAATTTAAAGGGAGGACGTAGGGAACGAATAAGAACTTTCTTATTTCTACTGACATCTGAGTGCAAATTACACGGTGTGTTTTTATCGCAGACATAAGAGTAACTGCATTGTTTCATGGGGCTGTGCACATTATTTCTCAAGTTACAAAATATTTATCAAAATTGTCCATATCCGTTCCTCATCCCAGGCGTGGAGAATTTGAAAAAGGTAGTAGCAGTGTACAATTTGTTGTGGTGACCCCTGGGTAGGTTCCCCAGGGCATAACAGAACCCTTTTCTTATATTTCATTGTTGAAAAATTTAGCACAATTTCGAACTTTATGTACTGTAGTTGGTAAAACTTACATTCATCCAATTTTATTTTTTTGTTATAAATTTTTAACAGTTTTCTAACAAAAAGGGTTCTGTTATGCCCTCAAAAAGTTAAGAGAAACAAAATAAAAAAGACAGCACGAAAATCCATTGAGCAGTTCCCGAGATATCCCTGGGACGAGCAGCCACGGAAGTGAAAAAATCCATTCCGAGAAAACAGCTTTTGGAAGTTGCACGCAGATTTCCAGCTTTAGAACGACCCTGCAGAGTAGTCCGAAGTGTTCTTGCACACTTTCTTCTTGTTCCGCCTGGCCAACTTCTCTTTCGGTGTCATTTGCTAACCTTGAGCAGACATAGGGCATCTGTTTCAGCAGCTCGCTGGGCGGCTAGATGGGCCGGCTGGAGTCCCACTGCAACCGAGATTTCTGCTGTTGCCCTGTAGCAGCCGGCGAGTTTTGCTGCTAGTCCGAGTTTGGTGCCGCCTTGGACAGTCAATCCAGCTTCCGAGTAATGCTTGCACACTGTGCAGCAGATCAGGTTGCTTGAAACGTTGAACTGAACGAAGTAAAACTTGGCACCTTCGCTCATAGCAGAGGCAGGTGTGGGATTGAGCAGGTTGCCGGCACAGCTCCGAGTTTGGCTCCAACGGCGTCACAGCGTCTAGATTCTGCTTCGATCTCCTCCCGCATCAGGAAATGCGTCTGCATCTGGGCACTGGACGACACGTTCCCACCTGTTGCGGCAGGCGGAAAACGAGCGCTGGGACCCGGGAGGATCCACAGTAGTTGACGAGCTTGTTACTCTATGTGTGAGTGGAAAGCTGCATTTTCCTCGGCGACAGCCGATGGCACGGGAAATCCGTCACTGGAAGCGTTGACATGATCACCATTGACGGCATGCTGCAGAGAAACTTCCAGCTTCGCTATCTGCAGTAACTTCATGGGCCGCTTCTGCATGCCAAACGCGGAAGCGGCCCATGTACTTCGAACCTCGCATCGTGTGCGACCACGAAACAGATGGTCACACTACACGAAACTACTCAAAGAAAGTTCAGATAATCGAAAGATGGAGAAAAATGAAGCGGAGCTGACAAAGTGAGAGCGCGAGCAGGCAGACCACTGCCGAGAGCAGACGACGCGAGCGGCAACAGCAGGAGGAGTGGAGAGGAGGAGTGCGAAGTTGAGCGCTCCCTTGCACGCTCCTTCCGCACGCGCTCCGCCCAATCACATTCTTGCAATTGCGACAAGGAAGAAGGGAGACCACGCCGTAACCGCACAGCCGAAGCCATTTTGGAAGCAGGCAAACAGAAGAAAAAATTCCCCTTCAAAACAAGACCAAGATGGCGGCCGTCGGCCAAATGTGTCGGGAAGGGCGAGCGCGTGAAGTTGGGGTTGATTTCGACGGTTGACAGTCATTTGGACGCTGCCCAGGCGTCGTAAATATTTGTTTTTAAACATGTCATCATTATATTAGGTTCTGATAATTACAGAAAAGGTAGTTTACGGGATATGCGATCCAAAAATGAGAAAAAACAGTGAGTGCACAGGCGAGCTGGTGGAAGTTGATCATGATGTAGAATACCCGAGACTGTGGTAAAAGCTGGGAAACTTGGTCCAGGAAAAAAGACAGGGGAAAAGAATGTCTCAATTCATTCTTTCCCCTGTCTTCTTTCTTTGACCAAGTTTCCTAGCTTTTACCACTGCCTTGGGTATTCTACATCATGACCAAAAATGTGGTTTTCACAAAATCAGGGGTGGAAGCAAGCTTCAGCCTTTTGGAGCAGGCCTGGGAGCAGCAAAGATGCCCCTTTGGAGCAGCTTTGGAGCAGTAAAAGTTAAGCTTTGGAGCAGCTCAGGAGCAACAAAAATCGAGTTTCGGAGCAGTATAAGCAAATCTTGGAGCTGCTTCGTGCTGTAAGCACAGGTGTGTTTTTCGAAATCCAAAAAGAAATATAAAAAAAGCATCTTCATGTGATGTTCCAGAACAATTTCCAAACATGATCTTTCCTTAAATATATTCCAGCCCATAGCAAAAAAGATATTTGAATGGCTACCATTGAGAACTGTCCTGGTGGTAGCGGGTTGGTTCCTCTCATGGATTTACAATAGTAGGCATAGGCAACTAAAGAAAAACAACTTAAGCTTCATGAAAACAACACATTCTCACTGTTTAACAACCTAAATCGCACATTCCATAAGTTAAAAACAAAACAATTTCAAGCTGCAATAGTATGGTATGAAATAAAGTCCAATACTGACTACAGTTCATCATTAGGAAATACAAATGTTTCGAGTCCCTGTTTAGCAAAAAAAAAAGTATTCCAATACTCTGAACCGAGTGTGAATCAAAGGTATTCCAATACTCAACAGAGTATAAATCCACTCTATCTGATAAAACTACAAATGCAAAATATTGAAAACTTCACGATACCACCTATACCATTCCTGCTCATACATATGCACTTCATTAACCCAGTAGTGCGCGGTATGCGGCAACGGTTCGCTAAAAGTCCCTGTTTTTTTCAGAATTACCTAAACAAACACAACACGGTAAACCGCCATGGCGAATAAAAAGAGGGTACTCCAATAAGTATAACCTTAAAAAAAAAAAAAAAAAAAACTTGTTTGACTAGTTTTGGCGCAACGTGTGCGCTTGGGAGCAGGATGGCGCAGCAAAAGTGGATTGGCGCAAAATGGGCGCAATTGGTGCAGCACTTCCACCCCTGCAAAATTAACTTTCTTTGCGATTTTTCACTTTTCAAAGCACGCGTCCCCCCTTAATCCCTCACAAACCACCATATCAGATTACGAGTGGCAGAAGACATGTCATAAGACAGATCAAATGTGCAGCTAAGATTCCTGCACATTCATGAACACAATCCATGTAATCTGATGATTTGACTTTTTCTATACTGTAAATAAAAACAAGATCAAAAAGTGGTAAAATATATTTCAATTAGGTTGTATAAGAGGGTTAAATTAGGCTTCAAACTTCTCTCCCAGCAGGGTGGAGGCACACAGGCCAACAGGGAAGCAAAGCATCAGCTTGACTCACCAATGAGGATGTCGTAGCGCCACTTTTTCGAGTCCTGGAACATGGTCCACGAGCAAACTGATGAGAACACATCCGTGATCATCTCTTTCCCTGCAGTTTTCCAGGAACAAGGGGAGGTGGAAAGGAAGAGATGAAGCACAAGATTTCCCAGACATCTGAAATTAAAAATGCCGCAAGAGAACACCCCCACAAAAAAAAAAAAAACGGTTCAACGGGTCGACGTTAACGGGACGTCATCGTGCGTGCAAGCCAAGTACAAAACCTGCACTGGTACTCCAAAACTGCAGTTCTAAAACTTGATCTCGAAGAACCACTGTTTTCCTTGAACGGAAGCAAAGAAACCTTGCAACTGGTGTCGGCACAGATGCGGTTAAGTACTGCAGAAGCCTACAGACCTTGCAAACAATAATGCACATAGTAGGGAGTGTTTGGCTCACAGTTATGCATCAATGGGTGGCTCAGACTTTATGGTTGCAAAAGGTTCCAGTAATATGCTAACATGTCACTTCTGAAACAGTGTAGACCCTAGTTTTGGGTCTGGCTAACATAACAAAGCAAACTGTGACTTTGGCTGGACCCTCACTATTGCAGACAGATATAAAGTATGCATACCGTAACAGCAGATTTTGGGGAATTAATTTAGTAGTGGGTTCAATCGGCTTGACACACAGAGTACGTAGCTACCAGAGCGCTTTAAGTACCGTGTTGATCCCAATACAACATGCAGGACTGTGAGGCACAGAAATGAACTTGCCTTTTCGGTAGCGAATGACGCTTTGATGCCGTGGCACGAAGTCAAAGCAGACGTAATCCCTCTGGCTGCGTTCATGCAGAGAAAGGAAACACAAAACTAAGATACAGAGTCATGAGATCTCTAGCAATCAAACTCTGAACGGAGCAATGCCAGGCTTTGAAGCAAAGGGCAACAGCATACATTTAGACCTTGATGCAACGAACACCAATCAAGTGCCAGTCAAAATGGTTGCATGATTATCTAGACAGTGTGAAAGCAGTGGCGTCACGAGAGTCAGCCCCCCCCCTTTCCCACTCTCGCAAGGCCCGCTGCGACTCCCCCCCCCCCCCACTCCTTGTGACACCACTGGTGTGAAGTGTGCAACTTAAAGAAGACAAATTGTGTGAATACCCTACACGGGCAATGCGGCCATGAGTGTAACTATATACAGTAAAAGCTCGTTAATTCGGATCGCAAGGGACCAGCAGAAATGCCCGAGTTAACCGAAATCGGGATCATTGAATGGACTATAAAAACACTGGAAAAAATGTGTTCTGCATGGGCATACATTTATTTCTGGAAAAACTAGGTTATTCATGTTTGCTTCTTCGCAGAAAGTTGGCGAAGGACAATTTTCTTCAACCCCATTAAATGATTGTGAGCGTACTGACTTTCGGGGATCCCGTCACAAAATTCTTCTAACACGGCGAGGGCCTCTGCGGCTTCCTTGAGAGCGCAACGTCGTGATGGTTGATCGGACCCATCATCGGAATCATGCTTGTCGTGTCCGCCGAGCACCCTCGATATTATTTCATCGTCACTCAACTGACCAGCAATGGCAACATCACGATCTATAGCGATATAATCGGCAAGCTGTACACCACTGGGCAGGACACGCTCGAGACAACTGTCATCCACCTCTTCAGCAGTTTCTTGGCTGTCCTCCGAGGTGGCATCAAGAATGGCCTCACAAACGTCAGGGCGGACGAACCCACTGTGCCTGAAGCAGTTGGCTATCACCTCGGCCGGCGTGTTTCTCCAGACATGAGCCAAAATGTGCACTGCGCTGAGCAGATTAAGATCGTATTCTCGGCCTGCCTCCATGCACAGCAGCATTCGTTCCAGTACATGCCTTCGGTACTTGCCCTTAACGTATTGGATAATCCCTTGATCCAGCGGCTGCAATGAGGCCGTCGTGTTAGGAGGGAGGAATAAGAGCTCGATACATTCGAGCCCCTCCACATTCTTGTGTGCGCTGCAATTGTCGACCACCATGAGAACCTTGCGCTTGTTGGTGGAGAAGCGGCGGTCAAGCTGTCTCAACCAAGCTTGAAACAATTCAGAGGTCATCCAAGCTTTTCTGTTGGCTCGATACTCCACAGGGAGACGGCCAGCGTTCTTAAAGCACCTTGGGCTATTTGCTTTCCCAATGACGAGGAGCAATACGCGCTCCGTGCCGGACATATTTGAAGCGAGAAGCACGGTAACCCTTTCTTTGCTTCTCTTGCCACCCGCGCACGGGTCGCCCTTAAACGTGATGGTTTTGTCCGGTAGGGCTTTAAAAAAAAAGTGCCGTTTCATCAGCGTTGAATACGTCGGCAGGTTCGTAAGCGGCGAGGTGCCGAGGAAGCACAGTCGTCCTCTAATTATCCACGCAATGTTCGTCAACAGCTCCTTTCTCCCCGCAGACATTCCGAAAGGCCAAGCCGTGTCGTTCTTTGAAACGGGCAAGCCACCCCTCCGATGCACTGAAGGAATCAATGCTCATTTTCGCTGTGAAACTTTCTGCTTGCTGGCAGATAAGTGGGCCGCTCAAAGGAAGCTGGCCGTTGCGTGCGTCTGTGATCCATCACAGCAGTGCCTCTTCCAGCTTCGGGTGAAGTCTTTTCCTCTTCCCGGTGAACTTGCCACTGTCAAAGGCTTCAAATATTTTAGCTTCGTTCTTGACATAGTCGCTTAGAGTGCTCCTCTTAACACCATACCTCTTCATTATTTCTTGCCGAGGGACGCCTTGCTTGACATCTGTCAAGATCTTGATCTTGATTTCTAAATCGTTCGCTCGCTGCTGCGGGCGCTTCGTCGAGGTGGCAGTTGCCATCACTGCAGAGCATGAAGGCGTGATGGCACAGAAAACCCCTCACCAACAAAGTGATTACAGCCCCCCGAACAAAACGCAGCGTAAATCAGAAGCAAGTGGCTCGAACCGTTCTCTCCGTCACGCTGTCCTCGCAGCTTCAGTGAACGCTAGATAGTTTGGCTGCTACGTCCATATTGGGTGGCATTTAGCGCTGCCTAGCAGCAACTCGCTCGTTCACTATCGCCGCCATCGCAGTTCTCGTGACTTGGCGCGCAGCTGTCCTGCCGCCGGTGGCGGCGCAACGAGAGGGTGTTTACGGCTTCCAGACACCCAGCCTCGTGCGGCTGAAAGCTGAAAATTGCCATAACCCTCTTAGGGGATTGTCTGAGTTAACCGGTGCGAGGCAAAAAACTTCCGAGTTAACGCGCATATGACGCCATTGAGCTACACGTAGAATTGTAGGGACCGCGTGGCGAGTCCGAGTTATCCGAAATTCCGAGTTAACGAGATTCGGATAAACAAGCTTTTACTGCCAACTCATGTTTACAAACAAACCGGAGCGCCCCTATCGGACGCCACTGGCGTTGCGCATGAGCGATGGAGGTGTGGGCAAGAAGCTCGGCGTTGCCCATAAATAAACCATTGGAATGCAATGTTGTCGGCGTCGGTGTGAGTCCCCCTGGCCTTTTTAGCGTTCGAATTGTTCATTCTACGTCTTCCTGGCGATGTCCGACTACTTGAGCGGCGTCAGCGAAATTACCGAGGCTCGTTATACCGCAAAACTTTGCGTGAATAATGTGACATGTGGCGATTCATTCCGTGCGGATGCCGCAGTATGTATGCTAAAGCCTGATTCGCATGATGCAATTTCGCTTGCAATTTTCAGTTGCAACGCAGCTCGGGCTGCAAAAGCGTGAACTGTAGCTGAGATGGTCAATGTCAATACTGAAAATCGCAAGCAGAATCGGCCCAAGTGAATTAGGGCTAACAAGTCGGTGATGGTCACTGGTAACAATGATCAACATCTCCTTGTATCTACTGCTTATATCGAGCCTGCTTTCCAACCTTTGAATTTAAGTCTTTTGAGGCCTGCACTTACTTCTTATCGCAAGTACCGGGCCAACATTTGGTCTACGGGCCGGCGTCGGTCTAAGAGAGCAGACGACAAGCAGAAACGTTTGAAAAAGCAGACGACAGTTTGAACGATCGGGCGGCCGTTTGAACTTGAAGACACACTGAACGTAGTCCGCAAGAGGTCCGCACAACTTGACGGTTTTCTGGTGTTCATGTTGGAACAAAACAATTAAATCTGATGACCACAAGTATCTGTGAATTCAACCCAAAGTGCTTCCCGCCCAAGCAATCGTTGTACAACGGCGTCTGCTTTTCCCTTTTCACGGCACATATCCAGATTCTAGGATGAACCAAGCATGTGAAAACTGACCTTCAAACCTTTCTCAACACTTTTGGTATGGCCCCAGTCGCGGCGTTTTGACGAGAAGGCAGGTTTTTGTCTGGTTCCTTTCAAAACAACGCAGGAATACACGTCTGGCATGGGGACTTCTGCCCATAGCCCAAGACCAGAAGTGCGACCGACGCGCCACCACCGCGCCGTGACGTCACAGAGCTCAGTTCGTGTATAGGTCAAGCTCCCCAAAGAGGGGCAATTCGGTGAGTGCAATACAATAAGAAATTTAAGAATAGCGTATGCAAAGGCTTTGCATATGCAAAGAATAGCGTTGTCGCCACTGTGCATGCGCCGAACGCTACCTGCAATTTGCGCTTTGCGCGTTCTTTTTTTCGAAAATTGCGCACATACACAAAGGGTCTTTGCACTCTTCCAAGGAGGATTCGTGATGAGAAATGGCGGTTCCCAAGACCGCAACTGCAGACGCTTTGGCGTCGGCGTGAGTGCGACGTCTGCAGCATCCTCGCGACTGCGATTGCAGAGATGTGATTGGCCTAAGCCGTTTTGGAGCACCTTTCGGAGCGGCCATAACAGTATTTGGAGCAGCAAAAGTGGCGTTTGGAGCAGCCAGAACAGCGTTTTGGAGCAGCAAAAGTGTGTTTTAGAGCAGCCAAAAGAGTGTTTTGGAACAGCAAAAGTGGTTTTTGAAGAAGCCAAAAGAGTGTTTCGGAGCAGCAAAAGTGGCTTTTAGAGCAGATGTTCTTAACAAAATAAAAATATTCGCTACAATTGCTGGACAAACGAAGGGCACATTGCTCGCCGCAATAAACAAATTATAGTCAAGTTAGACCGCCTGGGAGCCTTCCAACATGTAACTGAAATGCCAATGGCATGACACATTTTGCAATGCTTCAATTAAATGATACATATACCTATATGTACCCGCTATACATAAATAAGAACCAAACTGCATATATTAAATTTTTTTGAAAATGACCAGCTTTGCAGTAAATATTACAGTGTTAGGTTGACTAGTTATATAATATAATAAATGGAAGCAGCCTCCGACTGATGAGATGCGTAACTATACTGCAGTGAAATGCCAAATTGTACACAAGACAACGATGCATTACGACTAGCGGGTGATTTTCTTTTTGCTTTTCGAAACATTCTGCAGGGCTGCTGCAAGCCTCGCTTGGCCTTTGGCTAATAATGAATCTCCACTTTCAGTGTCTCCAAAGAGGCATCCTAAAAGTGTACAGTGCTGTAGGCATTGCCGAGCAACTCCGAAAAACTGCTTGCCACCGTTTTACTGGTTTCCGACATGCCAGTGTTTCGTCAAAAGTAAGCAAACGTAAAAAAATGGATTGCAAGCATCCCGGCTGGTGCCTCTGTCGTACAGTCATGTTTGCATGCACATTAAGGCAACTTTGGCAGTCTTGCATTCACGTGCTACGTCGCGCGAGCGAAGATGGCTCTCAGATTGAAACCAAAACCATGCCTTTCTGCTCCGTCGCCAACTGGTTCCCAAAATTGAAAGCAAAATGTAACTGCCCAGCATACAACAAAAACAGTCCAGCGGTACGTGCTTGCCAGGCCGG